GTCCTCAGCCCTCATTAACCGGTCTCTGCTGTCAGTTAGCAACAAATCAGCTCCCAGTGTGAGCCTCCCGTGGGCTGTGGAGAGCCAGGATTAATTGAAGTGAGCCCCTTTCACGTTTGCAGTTGGCAAACGACGCGGGAGAAGGCTCGGGAAGGGACAGAGCAGCTGACCTGGGATTGTGCTTCCCCTGATCCTCATCCTCCCTGTCTTTTACAGGAGGGACGAGCAAATCGCTTGTTCAAGGAGCAGATTTTGGCTTTATGTGTCTTGCAATTGGAGATATCTTAGGAAATCTTTGGAAATAACCTGATTTTCCTCCTGTTTTAGACAGAGAGGAATCCCTGTGGGAAAGGGGCGATTCTTCTCCCTCAGATCCAGTGCTACATCCACAACTCCTGATTTCCAGCCTTTCGGAGTGAGTTTAGGGAGGAATCAGTATTCTTTCATTTGATATTTTTCAATATTTCCCCCCCAGTATTCCCTTTTCTTTCCACCTACTTCCATCCCCACCTGATTCACACAGAGCTTTGTGCGAGGAAAGCTCTGCCGAGGTCCAGGATTTTATTTCTTCTCAAGTGAAGGGAATCGCTTGAAGTAAGGCTGGAAAAGATGTTTGGGTTGGAAGAGATCCCGAAGATCATCCAATTCCAACCCCCTGCCATGGGCAGGGCCACCTTCCACTAGCCCAGGTTGCTCCAGGCCCCATCCAACCAGGCCTTGGACTCTTCCAGAGATGGACCAGCACAGCTTCTCTGGACACCCTCTAAAATTTCTTTTTCTATGATCATAGTTTATTTTTATCCCATTTTCTATAAACCAGCCTCTTTCCTGCCTTTTCCTTTGATAGCTCCTGTTTCACCGCTGTTCTGAGCCATAATTGTTATTTTTTTTCCCAAACAATTGAGTGGATTCCTGTGATTAGGCTTTATTTTCTCAGATCTGGCTGCTGTTCCTGATGGTGGTGTATGAAGCTTAATTAATACCAGCTGGTTTTCCTAAACGAGGCAAACAAAGGCAGAGAGGAGTAAAAAGACTTGAGAAAGACCAAGCAGTGTTTTAAATGTTTGGGATTTTTTTTTTTTCTATTCCCCAAATATTCCAGTGCCAAGAGCTGTACAGATCAGAGGGTTTGTAATTAGGCAGAAACTCTTTCCAGCTCACACACACACACACACACACACACACTCTTACTCTGCTATTTTTTTTCCCACTTTTAAAAGGTCAAAAAAGCTACAGAAAGCCAATTTTATTGGTAATTATTGCTTTTTTATATATTAAAATTTTATATGTTTAATTATTTTTATTATTTGTATATATAAAAGTAGGTTTCTTTAGCTCAGAGAAGTTGTGGCTGGCCCATCCCTGGAAGCGTTCAAGGCCTGGCTTGGAGCAAACTGGTCTAGTGGGAGGTGTCCCTGCCCATGGCAGGGGGGTGGAGTGAGATGGGCTTTGAGGTTCCTTCCAACCCAAACCATTTTAGGGTTCTCTGATTCTTGATTTCAGATCCAAACTCCATTTTCTGTGTCACTGCTGATCCCTTTTGGTTCTGACTCAGTGCTATGACATCGGACTCAAACTTCAGTGTGAGGTCAGAAGGGACTCTTGGGGCTGCCATGAAACGATTGAAAATTAAATCAGACAAGCCACTCTCTGGTCTCTGGGTTGCCACTGGTGCTCAGACCTTCAAATTGGTGACTGGGGGTGTTGACCCAGGGGTTGCCTCACCTGGAGCCCGTGGGGATGAGTCCTTGGGTTCCTCACAGCATCTCACAGCGGCTCCATCAGCGCTGTCGTCCTGAAATCAGACCTTTATCCCTCAGTTTTTCGATTTCCATGATCGTGGCTTCGACTTCTGCCAAGAGCAGCTCCAAACCTTGCTCCTTGTGATACTGGAGACCTTGTGCCAGCTCTCTGAGGAGTCTCCTCTCTCCTGCCAGCTCTGTTTGGACACGTTTCCACATCTCCCCGTATGTTGTCGCTCAGCTCTGTGCTCAGGTGTCACCTCCTTGTCCATCTGTTGTCCACTCCACGTACCCTGGAGGTGCCACGTGCATCCCTGCTGCTGGCATTGGGCTTTCCTGATGACAGGATGGGCTCTAATTAGACCATGGGAAACCTGGCAGGGACACAGAGTGTGTTTTATTTATGTAGGTGTAAGTTAACCAGGAAACATCTCGTGACAGCCAAGGTTTAGGTTGGATCTGAGAAAAAAGTTCTTCCCCCAGAGGGTGTTGGGCACCCAGGCTCCCCAGGGCAGTGGGCACAGCCCCAAGGCTGCCAGAGCTCCAGGAGGGTTTGGCTGATCCTCTGGGGCACAGGGTGGGACTCTTGGGCTGGGCCTGTGCAGGGCTGAGGGTTGGGCT